AATCTTAAAAAAATGTTTTGACCACTAACAAACTTTAAACCTTCAAAACTAAGTTATATATAATACAATATATTTACCTCAAACATTAATGATATAATGAATAAATAATTTTGAAAATGTGGCATTTTGCAAAGATTTTGAAAAAATAGTATTTTTGAAAACTGACACTTTAAAAATGATATTTTTCATAATTTCTCAAAAATCTTCATGTACATTTAGTTTCTTTCTCTGCTATTTTTTTTCATGATGATTTTTTTGTGTGTTTTTTCACTCTTTACTAAATAGAAAACTTTATAAAAGAATAAACTTTAAGTTTAGTTTTTTGATATACAACTACCAAATTAATTTGTAACTTTTTAATTCGTTTTACACAAAATTTTAGAAATTTAAATAAAGCTAAACTCTTATATCAGTTATGAATTATATAGTTTTTTAACAATGATTTTTGAGAAATTTCAAAAATGCCACTTTTCAAGTTTCACTTTACAAAAATGCCACATTTTTGAAATCTTTACAAAAATGCTACTTTTTCAAAATTATTTTTTCTTTATATCATTTATGTTTGGATTAATTATGTTCTATTAGGGTTTAGTTATGAGGGTTTAGGGGGTTTTAAGGGTCAAAACATTTTTTAGAGTTTAGAATTTTAAGATATAGACTTTATAGAGCAATTACAAAAATGCCACTTTTTGTGTGCACATTTGCAAGAATGCCACTTAGGGGTGTCTATTTATAAAAATGCCACTAATTATAGATTTATAAAGCATATATCTTAAAATTCTAAAACCCTAAAAAATATTTTGACACCTAAAACCTCCTAAAAACTCAAAATCAAACCCTAATAGAACATAATTAACCCAAACATAAATAATATAAAGAAAAAATAATTTTGAAAAATGACATTTTTGTAAAGAATTCAAAAGTGTTGCATTTTTGTAAAATGGCACTTGAAAAGTGGCATTTTTTAAAATTTCTCAATCTATAATTAGTGGCATTTTTACAAATGGGTATCCCTAAGTGGCATTCTTGCAAATGTGCACACAAAAATGACATTTTTGTAATTGCCCCATGATTTTTTAAAATAAAATATATAAAACTGGTTTTTGATATGTTAGTTTTTTTCAAAACAAAATTTCACAATATTCACATAACTAATGGGCTGTCTAATTCGTATTTCGTAACGAGAGTGTGTATCTACTGGACCTACTGTAAGCCCATAATAATTTGATTAATTTCCTATACTTAAAGTAGGAGAAATTTAAATAAATAAAATTTTTTTTGAGAAATGTCATTTTTGAATTGCTAATTTTTAAAAGTGCTGTATTTTTAATTTTTTTTGCAAAGATGCTATTTTTCAAAATTATTTATTCATTATGTTATTTATGTTTGGATTAACTATATTGTATTAGAGTTTAGTTTTGATTGTTTATGGTCTGTTAGGAGTC